GACCCACCCCCGGCAGCCGGGAAGGCCTGCGGGCCAATTCCGGCGCAGGCTGCCCGCCCCGTTCCCGATATCCTCAACTTCCTCTCCTGTCCCCTCTTTGCTACGCACAGGGTGGTGACCTCAGTGCTGAAACCAGTCCATGGCGGGAGCATCCCCAGTGTCCACAGGCAGGATCCAGGATCCCTGAGCCACAGGGAGGAAGCGGGAGCTCGGCAGCAGCTCCCTCCTGCTCATCCTCAGAGCAGCCTTCGCTCCGTCCCCGCTGGGAGGGAAGGAGCGGGAGGAGGATCCTGGCAGCAGCGGGACGGGACCTCATGCCCAGGGATCAGAGGAAGCTGTTGGCAATCAGGGTCCCCTCAGCCTCCTGCCAGCCACGCTCGGCCCCCCGCAAACCTCAGGCCCCGCTGCCACCAGTGCTGCGGAGCGCAGGGAAATCACTTCCATCTGTGCCAGGAGCCACGGAACCCACAGGGAATCCGGACCAAACAATAAGAAAGAGGAGAGGGGAAGACGAGGCCGAGCCCATGCCAGGGTTTCCAAGCACTGTGATGTCCCAGCTCTCTTCCTGTTGCCCAATCTCGGCTCTGCTACGGGGCTCATAGGGAAGGAGAGCCCAGGCTCAGGGTCTAACACATCAGGAATCCCCTCGCTGCAAAAGCAGCCGTGGCTACATCCCTCGGGAGAGGGCTGCCTCCCAGGACAAGCGGGAACAGCAGCAGATGGACCCGGCAGCATCCCACCCTCTGCCACAGCCTGGCTCCACGCTGCAGCTACGGGTGTGGAAAGGAGGAGGAAACAGAGGTTTGAGGCAGGTTGCCTCGTCCTGCGAGGGCAAAGCGAGGCCCCTGAATGAACTGAGCCCAGGCCGCTGACACCCTCCGTTCGCAGCAGCCACGTCCGTACCGAGATGGGTCTCGCCAGGCTTGGTACAGCCCCGGGGCTGAAGGGCAACCCCTCCTGTGCCCCAGGCCTCATTTTCTAGCACATGTCGAAGCCTGGCCAAGCCTGAACAACTCCCTACCCCAGCCCGTGCACCCAGCTCTCTGCGAGCCGCTCTGGAGCAGGAAAGCCAGGATGGAGAATTAGGGTGCTGCCACGCTGAGCTCAGTGTGAAATTCAAGCAGCAGATCTTGTTTCCTTATCAACATTCAAGGCACAGAGGGACTAAGCACCCGTCCAGCAGCCTGGGTGGATGCCTTGCCCCAGGGTACGCAAAGGGATGGCCTAGAGCCCTGGGATCCCCAAGGAAACCAAGTGGCGGCCAACAATTCCCTTCATACTCCGATACTGAATCTTCTCGGGCCACACTTGACTTCTCAGCCCTTTCCTGTCCCTGCTGATGTTCCCCCCAACATCAGGGCGCAAAAACCTGGGACGCCTGTTTGGGGAACCCACCAGAGAGAAGGAGCTCATGGCAGGAACATCGCACACTGCAGCCTTGTGCTTGGCAGGAAGAACCAAGACCTGCTGCATCTAAAGAACCAGAAAATCCCCCTTGCAAGCCCCATGCAGCCCCAGCTGTGCAGAGGGGCTGAGGAACAGCAGCTTCCTATGCAAGCAGGCAGAGGCATTCCCAAAGACAACCCCTCCCGCTCCCTGTCTGCCCCCAGCAGCCTGACTGCCACGCAGGGAGCTGAGATAAAAGTATCTCCTTTTCCTTCCCGTTGCTTCAGGCCATGCACGAGTTTCCACTGCTCCCAGCCCGACAAGCAGTGGCTCGGGATGCTCCGGAGAGCGGCGCCGAGCCGGGCCGGGCAGCCCCAGTGAGTGGGCGACACCGACCGCGCGTTGATTTGGAGCCTCTTTGCTGCTGGGCACGAGGCAACAGGGTGGGGACGAATCCAAATAGCTTTATCCTAAAAATAAGCACTTTTCCACAGCGGCTGTCGGCAGAGAAATGCAGACCAAGCTGCTCCCTGCAGATCCTCGGGGTATCCCTGCAAAGGGACCCGCTCTCCCGCGCCTGGTTCCCACAGCGCGACCACCCTTCCTCCCGCCCTCTGGAGAAACAGGAGCCTCCTTGTTCCGCGCTGTCTGCAGCGAGCTGAGGCAGAACAGATGCCAGGAAGCGAGCACAGATCTTGCCCGCACGGGGGCTGGCGTTTTAGCACCACGGGGGTCCTTGAGCAAACTGCAGGAAGCCGGGGGGCCCCCCGTGCATTTGCACCGTATGATTCGTGCTCTCCCAGCACCGTGATGCAGTTCTGGGCAGTGGGACGTTTGCTAGGGTATAAATAAACCTTCTGTTGCGCCACATTCCCCATCCCAAATGCCCTATATATAGGCTGGACCGCTCTGGCCTGGGACTGTCATCTGCTTGGAACGGAGGGGACATTTCTGCTGTGCGCACAGGATCCTGCGCACGAGGGGCTGTCACGGGCAGGGAGGGCAGCTGCGGGAGGGCCACCCGGCACCCAGGATCAGGGCACCAGAGCCTGTTCCTCCTTCTCGCCCGCGCGGCCCTGCAACCCCTCCTGTTCTACAAGCAGGAAATGGAGCTGACTCACCCCTTGTATCTATTCCACGGAGCAAAGAGAAGTCACAGACAGGCCAATAGCTCTCACCTAGAGACACGCCGATTGCTCCAAAGCTGCTGCTCAGCTTCTCATCCAAACCAATACCGCCAAAGAGGCCAAAGAAGAATCACATTCACCTAAATCTTCCCAGCAAGAAGTATGCTCAGCCCCCAGCAGCAGGTTTTCCCGCAAGGACTTGCATCAGGGCTTGTTCTGCTCAAAACCCATTTAATTTGCCTCCAGAAGGACCAGAGCCCCCAGACCCTCCCCAGCTGCTGGGTCTAGGGAGCAGCTGCTGAGGCCCACGGGCAGCTGTGGAGCAAGCTGACCCCAGGGCTGGGAAAGGCGCCAAATACAGGCAAGGGTTGAACGCAGACCAAAGTGGATTTAGAGGTGGTGGGGGCAGAGGGGAGGGTTTGATGACCAGCAGAGCAGTTCTGGGAAGAAAATTTTCCAAGGACACCGATCTTAAATTTTACAGCACTATCCCCTTAGCTCCCGGGGTCTGTCTGTGTGTCCTGGCCAAGCCGTTTGCAATCAGTCTGATGAGCTACCTCCATTTCACCTCTATAAACTGTCCAGCTGCCTTCTACTCACCCCTGTGCACAGGTCCTGCAGCTCTTGGACATCCTTCCAACTACCTGATGCTTCAGACCATGTTTAATTCATTTGCTACTGAATATTCTGCCTTCCCAGGCCTGTTTGAGGCCTAGAGCCACACTGTCTGCCCTCTATTTCTGCAGGTGAGATGGGCCAGCCTAGATGCTAATCTGACCAACCTTGCTGACAGCTTCTGCTTTCTGGGTTCACCTACCTGATTTTCATTCTCATCAGCCCCTTCAGAAAAAAATATATGATATTTTCGCTTACCAAACAGACCCCTTCTCCCCTTCTTGCTCAGGGAGAACAAGTTCTTGCTCAGTGCTGTTCACATGTCCCTTGGCACTGTGCAACCCATGAAACCTGCTGTTCCCCTGAACATTTGCAGTAAGGGCTAACCTAAAAACCTTCTCGGTGTCACTGTCAATGCTGCTCAGGGCAGCAGCAGTAGCAGCCCTGGACCTATCTAGTTGCAACGTAAGTAGGTGGTTATTTCTGGAACCATAAAGGCCAGCAAGTTTGTTAAGAGGAAAAAAAACCCAGCCAACTCCTGCAAAAACCCAGCACCTCCGCACAAGCCTGAGCTCTGCTCGCAGCAATGGGCGCTCTGAGCAGGACGCGATTCCCTGCTCCGAGCACTCGCGGAGGGGACGGGAAGCGTCGCCTCCCTTCACATCCACACTCACCTTCTCATCCAGGCTGACAGCTCGTCTGCTGCGTCCTCCGAGGAGCCAGCGTGGGGTGACCACTTCTCCTTGGGGTGGGGGTCCTAGGAAAGAAGGGACAGAGCGAACGCATGAAGGAATCAGGGATTTCGCTGTAATTGCTGGCAGCGAGAGCTTCTGTGCACCCATGTCCAGAGAGGAGGGGCAGAGACAAAGCTGATGGCTCTGGCTGGCACCCAGGTGTCAGCAGCCCCGGGGGTGACACCTCTCAGGTGTCATTGCCAGACAGATACCACTACTGAAACCAAAGAGTTCCCCCCACGTCGTTGAACCAGCACGTTTCCTTGAAGCACCCCAGGGATGTCACCGCTCTCACGTGCTGCTGGGGCCACGCTCAGGTCTCAAATCCAGAGCCAAATCCACAAAACCTGCCCCTACAGCAGCATCCCAAGGAGAGGGGCTGCACGGGCTCCCTGTGCCGGGGCGGCTCTAGGGCCGAGACGGCAGCGCTCACCCACCACAACCCCGTGCTGTCCTCACCTCTTGCACCACATTTACCAAGCTACGTGCCCGGGCAGCGCTGCGGTCGCTGCCCTCGCTCGGGTCACTGCTAACAACGCCTCCCGTTGCAGGTGTTTTGGGTTTGTGTGTCTCTTAGCACACCTGCTGCTAACCTCTTGGTTAGGAGAGGACCTGCTCAAAGGAGGGCTGCGGCGAGGCTGAGATGCAGGAACTGATAAGTCAGCACTTGCAGCCTCCTACCAGCAAGCAGGTGGGCCCAGCCTAGCAGAGCCGGGCTGGAGAGCTCGGCTCCATCCACCCTGACCTAACCACCCTTGAGCACCCGAGCACACACGAGGCTGCAAAGCTTGAAAACAACCAGGGAGTTTAGAGAGCAGCATGCGCATCTCACCCGCTCCACCTCTCCCCACTCATTCTGAAAGTTTCATAACATCAGCTTTAGGTCTTACATTATAAAAATACGTTTTTTTTTGCCATATCTATGTTTTCACTCTACTGATTCTCATAACTTATGGCATCAGGAAATGTACTTCAATTGCACAGAAATCCAGTAGAAGCCACGATCTCCTGCTCGCTTCTAGCCAAAGCTGGACATGAAAAATGGAGCAGAGCAGCTAAAAGCGCTGCAGGATGTTACGGGTTTCTCTGAGACATCCCAGCTCCCCAGAGCAAAGCAGCACAAGTCATTCCTTGGCTCGCTTAGAGCCGTGCAGACTTTCTAAGATTTTTTTTTCTTTTTCATAAACAATGTGGCTGTATCTGATTGCAGGAGCACAAGCGGCTACTGATGACTTAAGCCTGGAAAACAACAAAAAAAACCAACACGTTGCTGCTGAAGATACTGCGAAAAGGGGAGAAGGTCTGGCAAAGGATGGGCCACCTTGCCAAAGAAAACGTCGTCAGTGAACACTTGGATCCAGTAACCCTCCCCAAGACAGGGCAGTTATTTACTAAGGGAGTGGAAAAATAGGGCTTACAGCTTCATAATTTTACATGCTTGTTTTGATTCCCCGTGCAACTATCTGGGGAGATCTGGCTGGAGGAAATAGTAAAAGATGAAGTTATTGAAAAAAAGCTGAAGTTAATGGTTAGAGACTGCAGTCTGAGTGTTTAAAAAGACCACAGTGTCCAAAGCACGGCCGTGTGTGTCACACAGGGCCCCCAAGGACTCCTTCTGCGATAGCACACGGTGGCATTTAATCAGCTTTTATTATATATAGCATTTAATCAGATTCCACGAATAACTGTAGATAAGGTGGCGGCAGGATCCGAGTTTCCCTCTCCTCTCCTCCTCCAAGAGCGTTAGCGAGGCCTCCAAGGCCATGGCCGTAAATAATTATTTGGCTGCAGGGAAACTGAGGCAGCGCAGGGAAACGACTTGACTTAAACCACGTGGGGTAAAGGCAGAGTACACAGGAGATGCACAGAAGTGCCAAGCTCTGGCAATCACACTTTTATTCACTGGAGTTTTCAGTCTTTTCATTTCAGTTAAGTGAAGAACAACTTTTTTTCCTCAACTTGCTCCTGCAAAGCAAGAAGGGCAAATAAAAGCTCTCCCCCACTCACACAGACCATCAGGAGGCAGAAATGGCCTTTCCGTCCCATCTGCCAGGGGCTAAATTGAGGGTTTTCAGCTCCTTGGGAAAAACATCTAGAAACCCCTTAGAGACAACGCAGGGGTCGCTTGCTCTCCTCGCTTCCCGCAAAGCCCATTTCTCTCCCACGCTGTCTGGGGAGAAGATGGGATGAGAGGGGCAGCATTTCTGCAGGGATTACTGGGCTGGGCTTCAGGCCACATCCTAGAAGCCTCTTGGTTATTATATTAAGCTTCGAGCTGTTTTGACTATAGCTTTTGCCGGGAATAGGATAGACTCAGAGCATGAGACAGAGTTTTAAAATCTAAGTCAAATAAACCAAAACGTATCGCAGAGGGGGTTTCCCATCCCTTCCTCATTTTTTCCCCCCGGAAAACTCACATGCACACTCATTCCCAGACCTTTCTGGGAATGTTTCATCTGAACCGTGCTGCTTTCACAGTTCAGACATTGTGAGTGCTCGACCAGAGCGGCATTTCTCCTGAAAAGACCCGTGGTCAGGGAGGTAGGAGCCCCAAAATAAGCCCCGGAGTAGGCGGGCAGGTTCTCCGTCTGCTTCTCCTCTCCCCTTTATCTAAACAGAAGTTCCTGGCTCCCAATACAGTCTCCATTCCTCTCCCACATACACACCTCACAAGGAACTCTCAAGCTTAGAGTTGCTGGAAAACTTATTTTAAGCAGTAACAGAGTCCAGAAAGGCTGAAAAATCATGCTTACGAAGAAGAAAAAAAGCAGTCTCAGCTTGTGGGGTTGCAGAAGAAAAGTGATGGAGAACAGAGACCACAAGAGACTGAACCCAGGCTGGCAAAACCCCACCAGGCTTCCAAAAAACCAACAAAAACACATGTCTAGATTTGAAAGGCGACAAAAAACTTTGAGGAAAACTGTGTGTTGTTTCACCCCAGCAAAAGTCACTTCTAGGTTTGCTTCAGGGTACCGCATGCTGGAGCTGGGGCACTGTCTGGACCCCAAAACACCGGGTTCCTCTGCAGCGGGATGGAGAGGAGGGGAGGGGGGTATCTGCTGTTCGCAGGGACCCCCAAGGGCTCCGGCAGGGACCAAGGTGGCACCGGGGGGGTCACGGGGCGTCTCGGCCGCCTCTCGCAGGGGGGGCCGGCCGGGCCTGGCGCTCCGCTCCCGAGAGGAC